CACTATATGGAAACTGAAAACCCTCGTACTTGCAAATCAAACATAAATCACGCACAATCTAAAAAAATTAACGAAATTCCTACTCCGCATTCACTATTATGGAAACTGAACACCCTCGTTGGAGCAAATCAAACATAGATCACGCACAATCGAAAAAAAAAATCAAATTCCTATTTCAATTCACTAACCCCTTGTCAGTTCCCTTGGGTTGGGAGGTTAAGAAGCTCAAGATTTAGTCATGTTAGGCCTAAGTTGGCCCAACCGTATGGAGAAGTAGAGATTATTGGCCCAAGTTGGCCCAACTGTATGGAGAAGTAGAGATTCTTGGAGGATTTTAGAAAGGCTGCGGCTATATGCAATACTAATTCCACTTGTGCAAGACCAAATTAAAGAAAGATTCCAAAAGATTCCATTTTATTAAGATAAAATGACAAATATACCCATAAATTAAATTGGCTTTTGTTTGCTCATGCAAGACCAAATAACAAATAATAAAAAAATATGAAACAACTAAATTTCGACATTAAGGTGTCGAATATATGTCCATAAATTCGACACCTTAATGTCGAAATTTAGTAAATTTTGGACTATTTTGCTAACAGTTAAATTTCGACACTAAGGTGTCGATTTTGTACTCCAAAATCGACATCTCAATATCGATTTGTACCTATAAAATTCGACATGTACATGTCGAAATATGAAACAACTAAATTTCGACATTAAGGTGTCGAATATATGTCCATATATTCAACACCTTAATGTCGAAATTTAGTATATTTGGACTAATTTACTAACAATTAAATTTCGACACTAAGGTATCGATTTTGTACTAAAAAATCGACATCTCAATGTCGATTTTTGCCTATAAAATTCGACATGTACATATCGACTACGTCTGCGCGGATTTTTTTTTGGAAAAACGATATTCTAGCTAAAAAAACACATAAATGCATAATTTCTTGGATTATTCCACCGTAGATTCTTCTATTTTGATGTCTTATGACTCCATACTTGCCATCTTTGTAAGATTTGTTGAGTTTTGATGATTTTGAATGTTTAGGTTTTGTGGGGTTATAGATGAGGAAGAAGAAAGGTTTTGATGGAGAAGATGAGAGTTGGTCTTGTGATTTTGTGATAGGTTTTTTTTTTGTTTTTTAGTTTTTGGTATTGCACATTTGGAATTTTCAATTTTTTTAACAAGTAAGGGTATTATAGTATTTATACATTGAAAAATTTAATTTGGTCTTGCACAAGTGGAATTAGTCTTGCATATAGCCGCAGCCTTTTAGAAAATATTCTAAAACCCTCCCTTGTAGGAATTCTTTGGAGTGTTATTTTTGTAGGAATTATTTGGAGTGTTCTAGTGAACCACTCCCAACCATTAGATCAAATAGATCTCCACCTGCATTGAGGGGTGGTCTAGTATAAATAGTAGTAGGGTCTCATTTGTAACCATCCAAGAAATCCAACAAGCACCTAAGTAATAAAAGTATTTTCCTACAAACTCTATTATCTTCTTAAGTTCTTCCTTCGTTTCCATCTCTTAGCATTCGCAACACATTCGGGAGATGCTGACTTAACTATCGCAATGGGCGAAAATGAGCTAATGCCGCACAGTTCATTGTTAAGGGAACAAGTCCGTGACATTACGCTATTCCCGATAGCAACGACGTTTAGGAAAGTATTGAAGAAATCGATGGGAGGTTGAGCATTATCTTCTGGCAGTAAATCCCCAATTAGCGGAAATTAAGGATTCCGATAGCTTCGACAATCGCGTGATTTTCTCCATTTCTTCACTCTAACTTTATTTTCTACTTATAACTTTATATATATTACTAACGGGAGAATTACTATTTTGGCCTCTCATGTTTTGACTAATTATATTTTTGGTCCCCATTTGTTCCAAAGTGAACAAAGAAAACACTATTTGGGCCAAAATGGAAATTGAATTTTTTTGGTTATATATATATATATATATATATATATATATAGGAAGTGTACACAATTGATCTTTTACATCTCCAAGTTTGACCCCATATTTCTCTCATTTTTTCAATTGAGTTTACTTGCTTTTTATAACACAATTTTACACATTTAAGTCATTAATTTAAAGGACAATTAGCAAGACCCCATCTAGAAAATATAGTTAAGGAAAACCGTCTTATCTAATATTCCACCTAAATGCTATTTTAATAATTCACAAACCATATTAAATCTTATTTTCACGTTTCAGAATCCTAACTCATTTCATTTGTTGTTTCTCTCTTCTCCTTTTCTCATCGTCTCTTCTCGATTGAAGTTTGGAGGAAAAACAACGTGATGGAGATAGTGAAGTTTGGAAGACCGCCGCATGAAATAATCTACGTGAAACTCCGTAGAGAGAAGTCGTTGGATTGGGTCGACCAAGTGGACCCGGCATATGCGGTTCCAAACATTGGGTGGGTATCCGATATCCTCAATTGAGTTTCCGGATCGGGTCATGAGGTTCTGGTTCGGGGCAACCTTTTTTTCTATATCCAAGTTCTAACTGATTAAAAAATGTGAATATATGTTTGCTCACTCATTGAGACATATCAGATATTATGAAGCAAATGGAGTAGTTATTTGGAATTAATGGTGGGAGGGGTGAAAGTGGAAAGTATTTCAGAAAAAGGAAAAAATGAAAATTTTGTTATTTATTTTATTCTTGTTAAGGATTGGTTGAATAGTACGGTGTGGAGGCAGATCTAGGGTTTTTTTGGTGGATTGGGCAGAGAACGACACGGGTAGAGAAATTCACGCAGGCTGGAACCTTAATCGACTACGTACGTGTTTAATAGGCGATTAAGGTAATCGACTATGCTCTGGTAGTTGATTAAGGTTAATCGACTCTATTTTTTTTTTTTTTTTATTGATTCCAATTGTATAAATCAATTATAATGTTTGTATATATTTTGTTTTTGTAAAATATATTTGATTTTGCACTTTTTTGCAGTTGTGATTTGTTATTTTTAGTAAAAGATTTTTAATCGATTATGCTTCATAAGCGATTAATATACCCGATAGAGAAAAGAAATCAAAAAAAAATTAAAAAGAAAAATTCAAAAAAAAAAATAATTACAGAATTTCCTTAATCGACTATATTTCATAGTCGATTTTCCATAATCAACTATGTTTCATAGTCGATTTTCCTTAATCAACTATGCTTCATAGTCAATTAATAAAAATGAAAAAAAAAAAAAAAAAAAAAAAGAAACTTTGCCTTTTTGGAGATGGCCCCAAGTAAGGGAATTCTTGTTGAAAGAGGAAGGGCTATTGGTCATTCAGGTAATCGGGTCGGGTCGGTAGGGTCGGGTCGGGATTTTGGGATCTAACCCATTATTAACCCACTCCATCTAAACCGGCCCAACATGAAATCGGCCCAATAACGCAAAAGCCCACTTCTAAGTCAAAGTTTAATAACTATTTATATCTTCAATTCAGATCGTTGAATCTCATCTTTTGATCTGGACTATTCATTCGAGGTATTCGAACTTTTGCCGCTCTTTTGTTCAAATTTCTGATCTTGTCTCTCCATTGCACCACCGTATTCAATTCTTCTTGTTTGTTTCCGGACACTCCCGTTGACGATGAAAATCGGGAAAAATGGGACTAAATAAGAAAAGGGGTTAATTGTAGAGATTTGCTCATTATAGTTTAATAGATATTATCAAAATCTAATTTTGGAGAATTTTAATTAACCCACCCTTTGATTTTATGCAGTTTCTGCAAATAATATTTAATGCTGTTTGCATAATTTTGTCATAAAAGTATTTAATTAGTTGCAAGAAAATCTCTATAAATAAAACTTCAAATCATTTACATAGATTGTTAGAAAATTAAAACCATTGGCTTTCAAAACAATGCGTCCCGACAACGACAAGAGTTCGAGTCCGATCCCAGCAAACTCTTATGCAGAGTCTTTCTACAAGATTGTTTTGCCTGCTACAAAAAACTATGGCATAGTGAGTTTGATTTATTTTTCACACTTTATAATTTACGAGTTTGATTTATGTGTAATTAATTTTCAAATTTATTTTTTTATAGAGAATCCCTCCGGCATTTCTGGAGCACATGGAAGAAAAATTGTCGAGTGTTGCGACGTTAACAACCTCGCGTGGACGCAAATGGCGCGTGAGATTAGTAGAAGAAGAAGATAGCATGGTTTTAAAAGATGGTTGGGAGAAATTTTATGAAGATAACAATTTGAAAATTACTGATGTTTTGCTGTTTACTTATCATGGTAATTTGCGATTCAATGTAGGTATTTATGATCAAGATGGAACTATAATTAATTAGTTCATTATTATTTAATTTAATACATGTTTGGAGACAAGTGCAAGTAAAATATTTTACTTCTTGAGTTGTTTTTCGGGTTTTCGGGTTTCGCAAAGAAATGTTAAAGAACATAAAAGGAGAGCAAGTGTACGTCATGGTCCGAGATTCAACGGTAATTATTACTAATTTGGAATAAAATGAGTAGCAAAATACACACTTTACAATTTACGAGTAAAGACTGAAACTTAAATCAAACTATTCGATACTCAATTCGGGATTGTTCCTTAAAAACTAGTTGGAGTTTGATTTGTTAATGCCTTAATGGAACATATATTTTTGCTCTATGAATTATGAAGTTCGGCTCAAGTTCGAGTTCGACTAGGGAAAAAAATAGAGGAAAAAAAAAAACAAGTTACTCGGTTAAATTTACTTTTGGCTCAATTAAAACGCGTTCGAGTTTGATTTAATTGTTTATTAAATCAAGTTCAAACACAACTATGAAAACTCGATTAAAAGAAAATCAAACAAACTTAAAGTAATCATGTGTTAGACTCGACTCGATTCATTTACACTCATAATTACGAGCGGAATATTCGAAATTGACCGCTCATAGAAATGAAATAGCTAAAAAAATATGTAAAAAATTGAAATAGAATTAGGGAAAATTAAAATCGAGTTTTAAATAAGTATTTTATAACAAATATTTATTTTGTCGTTATTGGACTGAATTAGTCTTCTTCAACAGCCCAGCCCACTTCGGGCCCAACCTACTTCGGGCCCAGTTATCAACTAACATTGATTCGGCCCGATTAGCAACCGTCGAGTAAATTGTTCTGCTCACACTTTTCACACAGTCTCTGCCTCTCTCTCTACGGATTCGCAGCAGCAAATGGAAGACATAGAGGACTTATTGGTCGGGGGAGGCGGCGGAGCGCCGCCGGGATTTCGGATTCCGGTCGCAGCCGCCGTCGGTATCAAGCCAAAGAAGAGCGTTTCCCGTGATTATCTCAAGGACTACAGCACTTCCAAAATACCTGGCACTCAGGTGGTTCTCTCTTCATATTTAGTTATGCAGAGATAGTTGGATACCTGTAATTTGAAATTCCTTTACAGTTGATTTATTAATTAATTTTATTTATTTATTTTATACCGTGTGCAGACAATCTACATAAAGACTTTTGGGTGTTCACATAATCAGGTCAACTTTTTGTCCATCTCAGTTGAACATTTAATTTTCCCAATTCGTGTAGGAGATGATTGGCTCTAGATATTTAACCAAGTAATTTGTCTCTTGTTGATTAGAGGAGTAATTCTTGCTTCTTATTACTGTACTTTTTAAGTATCGAAAACGTACGGTTTTTAATCACAGATTCTCTCCTGAACTTATTACATTTCCGAACTAATTTTTTCAGAGTGATAGCGAATACATGGCAGGGCAACTTTCTGCATTTGGATACAATTTGAGTGAAAACCAGGATGAAGCAGACCTATGGTTGATAAACACGTAAGACCCCCTTTCGGTTTTCATCATGTTTATTCTTTTACTTTTTTTTTTACCAACTAGGAAATTTTGTGAAGTTTGTTTCTATCACATAAACGAAAAAAAATCTATTTGCATGCTTGCTTAGTTGATGTTGTCGCCGTAGATGATTGTGTTTCTCTCTTTACGTGTGGATCGTTGTGCAAGAACACAACAAACATGTGTGATAAAGTTTGATTTGTTATTGTTCGTTTTATTATCTGTTCTTTTGGATTTCTGCTGTAGAGTTGCTTCATAGTTTATAAGTGAAAGGCAGCATTGTTAAATACATGTTTCATGTTTGTTTATAATAGCTGTTACGGCCTTAGTTCATGTGAGTAGAGTTTTCAATTTATCTGTTACGGTTAAACTTCATCTGAATTACATAATGGGGCGATGATGTCCTTTATGAAAGGATGATTGTATTGTAGCTCTAATTTCTACTATATCATTTGTGTGAACTTTCTTGCATTCATTTCAAACTTCAATTTTTTGAGTTACGTTGTAGTATACCGATGCATTTGATTATGCAGCTGTACAGTTAAGTCCCCTAGTCAGTCTGCTATGGATACACTTATTACTAAATGTCGAAATGCAAAAAAGCCTCTAGTGGTTGCCGGATGTGTTCCTCAGGGAAGTCGTGATCTGAAAGAGCTCGATGGAGTAAGTATAGTTGGAGTCCAGCAAATTGATAGAGTGGTAGAAGTCGTCGAAGAAACCCTAAAAGGTCACGAGGTTCGACTCCTGACTCGGAAGACACTACCAGCACTTGATCTTCCAAAGGTGCGAAAATTGGATTTTAGTGGTTTTTATGGATTTTGAGATTCAGAATAGAATAAATTTGTGGTTGCTGATTTTACCTAGTTTACATTGGTTGATCATGTTTTTACGCTCGTTTTTAATATAGTAATATTTCATCAGGTGAGAAAGAACATGTTTGTGGAGATCCTTCCGATTAACGTTGGTTGCTTAGGTGCTTGCACTTATTGCAAGACAAAGCATGCTCGTGGTCATCTTGGAAGCTACACTGTTGATGGCCTCGTAAGTTCATTGATAAAGAATCAAGCGGAACATTTGAATTGTCTTATGGAGTAGTTTTTTCACTGTACTGTAATTTAACATTGTAGGTTGGTCGTGTGAGATCTGTAATAGATGATGGAGTCAAGGAGATCTGGTTAAGTAGTGAAGACACTGGAGCATATGGTATGTAGAGTGAAGAAATCCATGAAAATAAATCGAACTATTAGATTTAAATTGCTTTTGGATACATGATAGAAGGATGCTATCAGCTTATGGTGTTGATTTTGCGTATTTCCAGGTCGTGACATTGGGGTTAATCTTCCAATTTTATTGAATTCATTAGTAGCAGAGCTTCCTTCTGATGGAAGCACGATGCTGCGAATTGGAATGACTAATCCTCCTTATATCCTAGAACACTTGAAAGAAATAGCTGAGGTTTTGCGCCACCCTTGCGTGTATTCTTTCCTTCACGTACCAGTTCAGTCTGGAAGTGATCGCGTCTTGACTGTAAGTATTAGATCATGTTTCATGTGATTGTACTTAGTTGTATTTTATTTTCGCAACTTCATGAATTTTCTTACTTTTAAGCTTTGAATGGAAGTTATCGCTCCAACCTTGGTGTCGTGGTGTAGTAAACTAACACCTTATCTTTAATATTTATATTCAGGCGATGAACAGGGAATATACTGTTGGTGAGTTCAGGACGGTGGTTGATACATTGATGGAACTGGTGCCTGGAATGCAAATAGCTACTGATATCATATGTGGATTTCCAGGTATTTTTTTCGCTTAAACTTGTTTTGATTTCTCCAGCAATGTCTTATGTTTTGCTCATTTTCATGTATCAGTTCGGAAACTGTGGGGTTTAATTTGTCAAATTATTGTTTATGTGATTGCTCAAAATTAATATTCTCCATAGATATAAATGCATTAAGTTCTACGTTATACCAATGTTTTGGATATCATAACAACTATTTGCAGTCTGTTTATTTGCCGTCACTCCAGACGAACAACAAATATTTGTGTGTGATTGATGTAAAATTACATCTCTCTGCTTTTCAGGGGAAACGGATGAAGATTTTGAAGCGACGGTCAACCTCATCAAGGATTACAAGCTTCCTCAAGTTCACATATCACAATTCTACCCTCGGCCTGGTTAGTTTTATCTCATGGATGAGAGAGAGTAGTGTTTTGTATCTTGTTTCTGATTTTCAATCTCGAACAGGAACACCCGCTGCAAGGATGAAAAAGGTTCCCAGTAATATTGTGAAGAGACGCAGTCGTGAGCTGACTACTGTATTCGAGTCATTTACACCATATGTTGGAATGGAAGGCAAAATAGAGAGGATATGGATCACCGATATCGCAACAGATGGAAGCCACTTGGTAAGATCAAAGCAAATATCAGTTTCTCTAATTACGATAATTTCTGAAAACCATAATTCTCTGCTTTATTATTTAGGTGGGTCACACGAAAGGATACATCCAGGTGCTAGTAGTTGGGCCAGAAAGCATGTTGGGGTCTTCAGCCACTGTGAAGATAACATCGGTCGGAAGATGGTCGGTTTTTGGAGAGGTTATCCAAATCCATAGCCAAAACACTAAGCCCCGTAAAAATAGTGCTCGTGTTGAAAAAAATTCATGTTCCAACTCGAAAGAAACCTGTTGTTCTGAAGAGTCGGAAACCTGTGCTTGCGGACTCACAAGTGGCTGTGGACAAACTGAAGAGGCAACTGATGTTTCGGTTTTAAAGGATGACCAAAAGACGGGCGAAATTAGAAGCCAAAATTTAATAGGATATTTACTCAGGAAGCGGAAGAATAGTTCTCATAGAAAGATCGAGAATCAGGTGGTGAAAGAAATGGATGGAAATGAAGGAACCTCGAATGACTGGGCTCTTGTCGATAAAGCTCTTCTTGTTGGAATAGTCATGAGCTTGTTGACCATAATTGCTATTTTTCGTTTCTGGTTATAGAGATTTCTCACTCTGAATAATTAGTGTATGATTATTGATTTATGGCAAAATGCTGCTACAGGCCTCAGGTCTTTAGAATTTTTGAAATGAGTAACATACTTTCGGTGGGAATTTCAAATTGTCTGCTGTAATAGTTTTCTTTCTCTAAGTTTTTACTGTAGTTGCAGCATTTTGGAATGTTTGAGAAACATTGTTGTGAAATTAATTTCTATGGAGCTGGTGCCAGCATTCTTATTACATTCAGATAAGACATGTTCTACTTGCACTTAACATCTCCATCTTATTCAAAATCAGTGAACACAAGGGAAAAAATATAAAAATTGTTATGCTGAATACATGAAATTGGGAAACATAGAAGAAAATATGGCTCTCTGGTAAGTGATGAAACTTCACTTTTTTGCTGCTGCAGCTCTATAGACTTGCTGCATTTATTCACCAAATAACTGTTTCTTTTCTGTTTCTTTCTCAGAGAAGGGAGTCTGATCTGGATGGCAGCCTCTTGAAGAAATTGACAGGTATTGGCGGCAACTTGTACCTCAACTTCGGATGGCGCAAAATATAAAGCCCGACGAGCAGAGCAACAATCTGGAAAGGTACAACATATAGAAACACAGCCCATATCAATGAAAAGACTATGAAGATTGCTGTAGCCCTGGGATCCCTCCAGCTCAACACAGAAAGCACTCTCTCTGCTTGTGTTGCTAAATCTGCCGACACACTTTGAACTCTCCCTGCAATTGTTCTCATCCTATCGTACCTCATTTTAACAACATCAGTCACCTTAGTAGTCGGGAATGTGTCGAATTCCTCGTCCAGCTCATCTGGATGAGCATTATCCGCTTGTGAAAGACGAGCGTCCATGTGATGTGGGCCCGTGGGCCTGACCCGAAAGTTCCACAAGCCGATGGCGAAAAAGTAGAGGAAAATCGTGGGTAGGATCAGCTCAGGGTAGCACACCAGTATCAAGAACAACATATGAACTAGGATTGATGTTACGGGGTTCTTCCAGTGGCAGACGCCTTCAAACCAGGTGTATATGTATTGAATTTGAGAAACGAGCGCCATAATGCGGTGGAAGTTGGCTTTGCTCCTTCGAAGGCTGAACACGTGGTAGTCCACATCCAGCATGTACTCGACGATCTCGTTTCTGAGCGGCGGCTCAGCCCTGGCCAGCTTTCCTGCCACTATGTTGATCGCCTGGTGCCTTAATAGATCAACGTGTTTAATGTGTATGGGCTGAACGAAATGCATCTTTGGCAGCAACGGCTTACCGTACTGTGCTACCATGTTCGCCCAAGCTGTGCAAGTGAAGCGTACCGCCAGGTGGAGCTCCCCGTTTTTCTTCAAACCAGAGGGAGTTAAAACCAGCAGTGGGTATGCATGTGTGTAGACTCGATCGGTTTCGAGAGTGGAGAGCCTGATCCTCACTTTTCCTATTCTCTGATCCTTCGCATCACCGCCGCTGATGTGGCAGTTGTCGAAAACCCCGATTGTTATTACAGTGCAAGAATCGTAGACCTCCCAGGTGTACTGCTCATTCCAAACGGGGTGCAGATTGTCGAGAAGCGTTCTTGTTCGAACCCACTTGTTCCCATACTTTGCCACGCAGTACGCATCAGTTAATTTACCGTCTTTCGCTTTCATCGCCTGCAGATTTCGAGCGCTCAAAATCCCTACTTCAAGAATTCCAACACTTGGCTTTCTCAGCTGATTGGCTGCCGGCTGAAGATCGCTGCTGAAGTGCGCGGACTCGTCGAGTACATGGTAACCGGAATCTATGCTGAGTCGGAGAAGAACCCTGCTCGCGAATTTATCTTTTTTCATCTCGATTTGGTCCTCCGCCGCAGCAGGTTTTTGGAGAGCAAACCACTGAGCATCGGGCATCTTAGAAGTCTCCGTCAGCTTAACATTCCGGAGAGGTATGAAAACCCTTCCGATTGTGACATTATTGTCCTCCACACTGACAACGATAAGCTCGTCAAAAGGCTCCCACGCCACATACATGAGCTCCTCATTCCACTCTGGATTGACGCTCTTCATTTGAGAAGGCCTAGTGGTCCTGCCCTGATTACAGACCTCCACCCTTACAATTGCATCCGTGGGCGGTCGAGATTTATCTGCCGGAACAAGATCTTGTGCTGCAAAAACGTGGACCCTAAGATAATACAGTTTTGGCGAGAAGTACACTTTTGATCGCGTGGTGCTGAGGCTTTGCTCGCTTACATTGTGCGCGTCGGAGTGCCAAGCGTCTGGAAACGCCTCGTCAGCTTGTGTCCCCATCCAGATAGCAAGCATGATGTCACCTCTTTTGATCAACTCCCCCTTTTTGTCCAACAGTTTGTACCACTGAGGAGCAAGTGGGCTATCGGGCGGCACTCTCTGAGGCACGTCTGGCACATCAAACACTACTTTTCCAACAAAATCATCCTTCGAAACATCCCTATCTTTGACCGTAATTTCGATCAAACTGCTCTGTAATCTCTCCTTCGAGAAGGCGAATACGCTGTTCCAAACGGGGTTTTGGTTCTTCTCAAAGTGCTTAGTCACCCCCTTGTAGTTCCCGACTTTCACCTCCACGTACGGGTCTAAGCTTCCGGAAACATCTTTTGATGGGAGGTCCATAGCTTTCACTACACTCACGTACAAGAAATTCATCGGCTCTACCATATCGTAAGTGCTCGCACTCTTGTCTCTTCCCCAATACCCCATTCTTGCCGCCAGAGGCGGCCTTGTCTCCACCAGCCCGTACTCAGGCTTCTGCCCCGCCGGAGCTTGCATTTTCATTACAGTGGCGGCGGCGGAAGGCGACCCCGCCAAAGCAAAATCACTCCGTGGCTCCACAAAAAACGGCTGAGGGTGGTCGCCGCCCCCATAACCTCCCCCCAGAGAGTAAAAGGTTCTCAGTTCTCTTTCTTTCTTTTTCTTCTTGTGCTTGTCACGACTTTCCTTGTAATAATGCTCGTCATCATCGAACTCGTTATTACTAATCTCCTTTAATGGAGTAGCATCACTCTCTCCATCTCCATTATCACCCCCATGCACTAGTGCATGTACTTTTAGGGCAATATCGCCCTTGACGTGAGAAAATATTCCTCTTTTATCTAGAGGGTATCTCTGAACAACCGATTCGTGCTCGGAGAAAGATACGGACATGCCAGATATACAAACTTTACCCAGAAAATTCCTGTGGTGACCGTGCTTATTGTCGTTGTACACGAAAATTTCGATAGTTTGAGTGGATAAATATTTGGGGTACTTGATATTGAAAACGAGCTTCTCGTTCCAAGATGGATCGAGGCTTTTGGGTTTTGTCGAAGTTCTTTTGCGCTGCCCGTCGAATTCTACTTCGACAAAAGGGCTTGCGCTGCCATGACCGTCTTTAGGCATGAGATCATTGGCATCAAGAACTTCAACCACAAGTTTAGCCATTTTAGTGATACGATTGATATTCAGACAAAAGTTCGTGATGGAAATTTGGACAGGTGAGAAGCTATGTCTGAAAGAAGGTTGTTAAGAAAGAGGAGAGAGAGTGGGAGTAAAGAAGAAGAAGAGAAAGAGAGGTGAAGGACAAATACTAAGTAGTGGAGATAGCATTGGGTTATTTAGAGAAAGGTTTGGCTGTCTACACCCTATATCTCTTCTGATTCTCTTGTGCATGTGTCTTCTGTGATTATATCTATACATTTGTGCAAGTAAATGTATACGTATACGTATGCATGTCGTATACATACGATTCAGGGGTGCATCATAGAGTTAATCAAGATTATATGGTTGGAATTTGAAAAGGTGGTGCAGAAAAGAAACAAAGGTGTAAAATATGCTGGATAAAATGGGGAATCTATAAAAGGAAGAAGAATATTTCATGCTTTCTATCTTTGTTTTTTCTTCCTGATATATATATATATATATATATATATATATATATATACACTAATAATATGAGAAAGGAGAGTTATACAAGAAATCTTGTTTCAAAAACATTATGATGAAGTGTTAATATATTTGCTGTCATGCAATTAATTATTCTGCAAGTTTTTCGAGTTTGATATTTTCGTTGAGGAATCTTCGCTTTGTTTTCGAAAGCGAGATCAAAGTCGAGAGTCATCGAGAATTTGTTCTTCTTTCTTCACTATTTTGCGATAAAAGTTGGGTGAGAAAAAGGTATAAAGATTATTCCAGAATATGCAAAATAAATTTTATTTCGAGATTTTCGTCCGAATATTCAACTTTTTCACTTGGAGAACAAGATTCTTCAATGGATAAACACACAACACTTTCTGTAGTGGTCCAGTACCCGATTCGAAAGTCTAAATGGGCCCGGCCCATTTCTCAAACATGCAGCCCAATGTGAGACTATTGGGCCAAATATAATGGGCCATAAATGTTTTAAACTATGGTACACTCCGATAAGTTTCACCGGTTATATCCGTATATAGTTTACACACATCCACTTGTATATGTGTGTAATTGTGTGTAAATCAAATGTGGAAAGACAGAGAAGTAACCGTTCGACATACACGAAAACAAAATGAAATGTCAAATGTGTTCTACATCTATTATCAGAAATGAAATGTGCCATATACAAAATTTTGAAGCCTATCAACTTAAAGCTTACGAGGAAGAATGAAATATCAAACAGCAAGCTCGACCCCGAGAATAATCGAACCTCCTAATCTTTTGTCGAGCAAGTGTTCAAAAGGGTTAATAACTTGATCAAAAAATAGGAAAAAAAAAAACCGAAGTAGCGATTATAAAAATCGAAACGACAAATTAAAATGCGCCTAAAATTCGCCCTCAGTCTTCAAGTCATCTGTTTGTAGTAACAACCAAATCCTCCTTCAGGCTCGTTTCTCTTTGCTCGTTCGCCCATTGACGAATTTTTATCAAGAAACGAGAATTCTCTACTCACATCCATCCTTGTTGGTTCATGAGCAACCTGCATGTGATTAGGGCTGCCAAAAGACGTGTGAAGTGGGCCCGAGTTAAATATTCGAGGCAAAATCCCTTGTTCGTAAGTGAATCTGGCGTAGGGCAATGCGCCAGCTGGCAGAGGATCCCCCGAACTAAAATGGAACGGGCCATTAGAAGAGTAACTAAACGGGGTTGAAGTATTTGATACCAAGGGTAATGTTGGTACTCTCTGCATCAGTTCCATCGGTCCACAATGCTGCATGCTATAATCAAAAGCTCGTTTATTGGACGATTTGTCTACTACCGATGTATTGGCATTCAAATTCAAGTCAATCAAAGGGGAATATTCCGATTTGGGCTGAGTATATTCATCAGCAGCAGCATCGTAAATGCAATTGAGATCGATCAATAAGCTCCCCTTATCCTTTTTTTCAGAATCTTGAAAAACGGAAGGCAAAGGTATTACATCTTCTACAGCAGCAGCCACATTGAGGTCGATTCCCGTAGAACATGTTTTTCTATGCGAACTCACAGTGGGGCGAAAAGCACTTGTTTCAGAATGGCCCTTCCAGCCGAGAACGCCCTCAAACTTCAACGGAAATACAGGCCTGCCACTCAGAATCCCGGGTTTCGCCACAACACGTATCGCACCATGACAAGGCTTAATACAATCATCCATTTCATCTGCGTTCGTGTCCTCGTTGAGATCAAATCCCATATCAACTTTCCGAGGTTTTTTCATCGAAAAATCCGAAGATTCATTCGCGCAAAAGTTATCAGAAGAAACCGAACTTAAAATCTCGATATCTCCCTTCTTAGTGAGCAGTGAGGTATTATCGTTTTCAGCCATGGAAGTAACCTTCATTCTATTTCTAGTTCTCACATTTCTCATAGCTTTACGAGCAATTTGAGCGGATAAGCCCGATTCAGAATTAGCTGTCATCAGTTCATCTAAGCTGAAATCGAATGCTTTAGAGTTAGAACTATCCATCGAACTACCACGGTTCTTGAACGAGTAAGCATCTTTGCAGGTTTCTTGATAGCTGTGATTCGAAACAGGCGATCGAACAACGACAGATAATGAGTTCGACGAGGATGATTCGGTGTTTACTAAGCCATCTTCAGGGGAGTTTAAATGATTCAAATGTTTCTTCGTTGTACCCATTTCGATACTTTGATTCCCCTCCGTGCTAATTTCACTCTTCACCGATTGCGTGTCGGTTTCGTGAGATTTCGAATTGTCATCGAAGAACAGAGGTGAAGATGAACCGTGTTTGGTGTTTGCGGACACTAATTCATCAAAAACTTGCTCAAATTTCATGTTTTATGATGTATTAAAAACACCTGCATAATTTGTAAGGACAATATGAAACAGAGAGAAGTTTCATCAAACTGAATCATTAAACATTAAAAACATACTCAACAACATAGATCTGCAATAAAAAAAAAAAGACAGATCAAAAAACCCTAACAGATAATTCTCAGGCTTGAACGTTTGAAACCCTAAAACAGAGAAATTGTTGAATCTGACTGCCAAACAATGGAGTCTCATCTCAAATTTCGGGAGAAGAAGAGAGCTGATGAAAAAGCTCGGCGGCCATTATCACAAACAGAAAGCACATATAAACACACAGTTGAAGGTGAAAACAAACCTGAGAGAGAGAGGAGAGAGTGCGCAGATCTTGAAAGGTCACAGCTTTTTAGAGTGAGAAAGAGATGATGATGACGATGATGAAAGTCAGAGGAGAAAACACAAGTGTGTGAAAAATGGTGTGGCCTCAAAAAGGAAACATCAACTCATTCTTTATTTCCTTTCATTCATATCCTCTCTCTCTCTCTCTTCTTTCTCTTTCTACTCTTTCTCTCTCTACTCTGTTAGCAAACAGGGGGAGATGGATGAAAGAGACAGAAAATGAATCAATAAAAAACATATGCAGAAAACGCAGTCAACAGATACACGCAATAATATTAACTAATTATTTAATTAATTAATAATGCCCCCATAATAGCAAAAGAAATCGGTGATAAAAACCAGATCTTTTTTATTTATTTATTTTTTAAAATAAAATGTTTGACAGCCGACGAGAGACAGTGTACTGTGTGTGTGTGTGCTGTGTGCGTCAGAATCAAGGAGCAGAGATATGTGGGGTTTAAGTGGTGGTGGGGACCCACCCAAGACTGCGGCCCATTTGTTTTTTTTTTGTCTGATTGATTTGGGCCCCACAATACTTGACAAGTGGGGCCCACTGACAAGTTAATTTATTTTACTCCTGACTTTGGAATCGCCAAACAATTAAATTAAATTTGAAAGGTGACCCCAACCCTTTTTTTCTATATATATATTTTTTTAAATCTCTTGCAGATGTGTTTGGATTATCCTAGGATATAAATAAATGTGTGTAATTATACAAGTGTTTGTTAAAAATTGTTGTAGTGATAGCATATCATATGTTTGATATTATACAATAAATACTCAATATTTTCTTTTTAATATTACCTTATTTTTTATATTTTGTTTTTTCAGTTATATATGTCGCTTTATCATGTTGGATTATGGACCCAAATGAATTTATCAAGAACTTGGCTCGTTAGGTCATTTCTACCCGAGATTGTCCAACCGAAAATGAATGGCCACTCGCACACAAAGCCCGTATATCAGATGGAAATCTTTCCAATTTTGATCTGATTCGTTCGATTTAATACTTTAATTCTCTTATGAACTACTTATCTTTCTTATTTCAACATAATTAATTAATGTGAGCGTGCAAAATGCAAGTATAATTAATAGTTGAATGGACAACCTCTTTGTCAAATTGTGCTTAGTTTAACTAAAAAAGGAGTTCAATTGAATTCTCTCGTGGCATCAATTGATTGTTATTTAATTCAATTATTATATTAGTGTCTCTCACACACAAACACACATGGTATATTAATTGATTATATGGTCATCATCATAATCAAGGAGAAGTATACAAGTCCCTATAAATTAAATTAATTACACTTACACACCTGCAGTAAATTTATCCTCAATTATTAAATCCAAGGGTATATATTAGATGCCCCCGAGGTAATTATTAGTAGTCCATGTATTTTATTTTATTTTACTTATATTTATATGTGTTGAAAAGATTCCTTAGACAAAGATTCATTCAGTTCCCTTGTTCCTAGTTTATGGTGTTTCAATGCTAAATCTTGTTTCTTTTTACTAATTCATGGGATAAAATGCGTTTACCCTTGCAGTTTGAACTTTGTACACATAATCCCTTATACTTGCAATATAATATATGACGTCTTTATATTATAATACAAGTAAATAACCTCCTTGACCGTTTAAAAATTGCATTTTAGTAACGAGCATGATTATTTATCGAGTGGAATACCATGAAAAGTTATGTGCATATATTAAAAGTATAAGGGAGTCATTTGCACAAAGTTCAAACTACAGTACGTCATATGCTTATATTAAGAGTACAAGGGAGTTAAGTACACAAAGCTCAGGCCACAGAAAGTTAAGTGTATTTACCCTAATTTATACATGCCCTAAAATAGGTGAAATTTTCCCATTCTTATTATTTATTTAAAAAAAAAAAAAAAAATCTTCTTTTTTGGTGTTCTAGGGTTCCAAATTTATATGGGCAGCCCAAAATTGAAAGCTTGTAGCTTTTTGTTAACAATATATAGCCCAATTTGATAATTTGGGTTGGGCTTTCTTTGATTTCTTTAGGGCTTTTCTTTGATTACTTGCTCCAATCAGGTAACCGCTAAACCATGAACTGCCACGTAGAATTCTGCATGAACATGCGGCGAACCACGTGTTGCATGTACAATCCATCATACCACGTGGCCATTTATCAGAGTCCCAGACAACTCAATTAACCAATTACTCCCCATAATTCATGCAGATTGTCCTTACCAATTCAAAGAAAATCACCGATCTTAAAAAAAAAAAAAATTCACCAGTTCTTTCTAACACAGGGTAAAAAAGAAAAAAAAAGATGATGAATGTTTTGGCGCTAGGTCTCGTGTTGACGTCTCTGGTAACTGCAGGTTTTTTCACTCCGAGCCCGGAAAACCAGAAATTGAAAGATGATGTAATAGTGAAAGAAGGTCACAGAGTGATCGTGGTCGAGTACGAGAAAGACGACGGCAACACCAAGGTTTCGATCTCGCCGCAGGATTCCCAGGCACCCCACAAAGTTGGCGAAAAGGGGTTTGCCTCCAATGTGCTTGACAAAATGTCTGAGAGAATGGAAAATGCGAAAGAGGGAATAAAAGAAGCTTCTTCTTCTATTATTCCCGAAGTGGGAGAGGCAGACCGGAATCAAAATCAAGAAGAAGAAAATCATCACAGATTTAATGCTAGAGAGCTTGTGTGTGATGCATATGGAAAGTGTAAGCATAAAATCGTGAGTGCTCTGGGTAAGACAAAGGAGGCGGTGGCGGAAACAGCCCACGAGGCGGCGGATAAGGTTTACGAGGTGGAGGAAGAGGCAAAGGAGGCGGTTGGGTGAAAGCCCATTGCAAAAAGTTAAGGACACGGTTACTCACACCAGCTCAATAAAGCCCTATGACCAAAGGTTCATGAAGCAAAAAGAAACTGCAGAGGATAAAAGCTTCCAAAAAAAAGCCCACTGTAAATGAAAGAAGGGGCTAAAGAAATGGCTTCGGAAAAGGCGAAAGATGCAGAAGAATGGGTTGAAAAGGCTTCAGATAAAGCAAAACAAAGTGCACATAGTGTGAAAAAAGAAGGGGAAAGGGAGCTGAGTGAAATCATTCACAAAGCTCAAGAAGTAGCGGTGGATGCATTCGACTATGCATTCTCGCCGGATAGGCTTTCTCCGGTGACCGGAATTTTGCATCTGATGGGATTCGCGGCGGCTTATGGGATGTGTGTGTGGGTTACTTTCGCCTCGAGTTATGTTCTGGCAGGGGCTCTGCCTAGAAACCAGTTTGCCAATGTGCAGAGCAAGATATATCCAGTGTATTTCAAGGCAATGGCTTACAGTGTGGGGTTGGCACTTTTTGGACATTTGATGAGTCATACGAAAAGGTTGTCTCCAACTAGTGTGGGGATGTTTCAGGGCTTCAATCTGATGACGTCACTTGCAATGATCTTGGTCAACTTACTGTACTTGGAGCCTCGCGCAACAAAGGTTTGTGAGTTGTGTGTCGTAATTTCGTTGATTATTAATCGAATTTTCGGGTCTTGTTAAAATTTTGAAGGGGCCCACTAAGCTTATTGGAATTAAGCTTTCTTGATGAGATTGAGCCTATAAATTGCTTCTTGTAAGAAGATACATTGTATGATTTAATTTTCGATGTTGTGAAGAGATTTTATGTACTTGAATTGATTTGGATTGTTGGGTATTTTGTGCTCTATGTTTAGGTGATGCTTGAAAGGATGAAGAAGGAGAAGGAAGAAGGAACGGTGAAAGAAGGGCAAGCGAGCGGACTACCTAGCGGCAGAGTGGTGGATTCGACTGCGGAAACTGTGGGCAGAGTTTCGTCGACTGAGAAATCGGAAGAAGCGGTAGCGAAGTCGCAGATTATCCGATTGAGCCAAATGCTTCAACGGTTGAATTCTTATTCTTCGTTGCTCAACGTATTCACTCTCATGTCTCTCACTTGGCATCTTGTTCACCTCGGCCAGCGTCTGCATATTGTGTCGTGATAATTCTTGTAATAATGACTTGTAGTCGACTTGTATTACGTTGTTATCTTTGTGCAGCTGTTGTTTCTTTAATTTCGAACCCACTCGGATTTTGGTTGTACTCACTGTTTGTTGATAGTTAGGTATTGAATGTTTCACAAATGACATGGATATGTAACTGGTCTTTTCACCCTTTGGATGTGCTCTGTATATTTTAAATGCTTTTTTTTGTTGTGAAAATGTATTAAATTTTAATCAAATTATACCAAATATATTGATAGATGTAAAGCATAACAAAGAAATGCAGCTTTGACATAGAGAAAATATATAAATCTTATTAGCAAGGGATATATTTATATGGTTGAAAATATTGTGGGAAGAAAATAAAGTATTGCAAAAAAGGGTCTCCATTAATGAAACATAGTGAATCAACAAATGCCTATGTAGCAAAAATATACAAAGCCACAGAGATGTTTTTGGCAGCAAAAGTATCTGCGAATACGTAAATTGGAGTAAAGCAACATCTCTTGTTAACAGTCGAAGACTTCAGCGAAACACGGATATCCCTCCATTCTATCTCTGCCAGAAAATTTCCTAGGTTTGCTTTTGAATGCAATACTTTAGAGCTGGTCGATTGTCCTACTAGATCGGGGATGCTAAATTATATCATGGGAAATTCGATAAAGGGCTCCAAAATTTAGTCACATTTGATGTTTCTGTAGATTCTTCGGACAAACAAATTGGATCCCAGATATCCGACAGCACCTGAAATTTTGAGGTACAATATGTTAAACTTTGATGATTATATGGACTAGGATTAAATGAAAAAAGGATGGACAAAAAAGCTTACCACATAGTATTCCCAAACCCATGCAGAACATCAAAGTGTATCCAAAATAAAAGCTGGTCTGGAAAAAACCCGACATCTTAGTCTTGACATAATAGTAATATATAGAGTAGAGGTACACGTAGAGCGAGGTGGAGGCTGCAGAGAAGAATGAAGTCCATTGCCAGTGATAATTTTCGGCATTCAGCAAGAAATACGTCCCCACAATTGTCACGCAAACGGTGACGATGATCAGTATCACAAACACTAGTAGCATGAAACCATACACATAGTACACCTGTCAACAACAACAAAATTAAGTAAGGTAAGCGAGATAAAATCAAGAATTTACATCTTACTCCCTTGAGGAGAAATTGAGAAAAAGTCAATTACACCCTACAGTAAAACTTGTACAATAACATTCAAGCGGTCGTTTCTATGTGTTCTTTTAATATGTTCTGTTTCAAGCAATTCTCAAGAATAGGACAAGATATGAAATTGTTCAAGATTCATTTAAGCAGTTCACCAAACACATGCCAAAAGTTACAAGCTCTCACACTGTGTAATACGACACTAAAACATGGCCAACATTTTCACGGTTATCAAAAGAAAGATAATACCTTAAACCAAAAAAAAAAAAAAAAAACAAAAAAAAATTACCTTGTAATTCCAGAAGGAGGTGAAGACAAAATACATTTCAATAAAAATGCTTCCAAAAGGCAGCAGACCTCCCATGAGGGAGACGACAGATGGCGTAAGATACCATTTCTTCTCAGGAATCGGACGAGGGATTGTCTTCACTCGGCATGGATTGTTTGGAGCACCACTCCAATTTCTTCCCACAACAGTACCAAGAAGTGCAAGGGGAAAAGAGATAAAAGCCCATATGACTAAAACAACCACCATGGTACCAAAGGGGATGGCGGCTAGAGAACCATAAAATATGGCGATTGTGTTCAAGATGAAGCCAATGCCGAAACACATGAAGGGGAACAGTGACGCGGTAAGGATCATCGACTTTATCCAAGTTTTACCTATCAATGATGACAAGAATACAATAATCTGTCAGTTATAAAGATTACAGGACTACTGGCAAAATAAGCTTTGAGAAATTATAGGAAATAGTTTTTTTTAGGTGGAAGTTAAAATGAGAACATACCCCCATGGCGGGAATACATGCCACCACTCACGTAACCAGCAATAAATGATGTAAAAGCATAGCATACGATAAAGGTTGTGACAATTGCTCCTCTCCTGAATCACATAATTGCAGCGGTAAGCAGAAAAAAAGAATAAAAAATGAGAGAGGACTTATCATACAGAATATGAAGACAAGCTGAGTTGTTAAGACTATTGTTAAATATCTCAGGATCTGTTCATTTAACCAGATTTAGATCACAGTAAAGAACGATTTTGGACATCATATTGGCTATTAACAAACATAAATGGATAGTTTTGCAATCGAAGGCAATTTCTAAGCATAATAAGACTTGAGCTATGTCAAGCCAGCTTGATCAATTTCACAATGATAAATGACATCGGAGGTAAAATGATGCATACCCTATGTACAACATTCCAACAATTGCTAAAATGATGACAAGCAGAACAAGTGTTGCTAGCTGAGCACCAGTGCCAACAACAGCTGAAAGTAGAGCCAGGTTCTTGGAAGGACGAAACACATCACCATGGACAAGTTTCCAACCAGATTCTTCACTCACATCCCGTTCCTAAACATGAAAAGATCTATATAAGCAAGCTTACAAAATATATGTCTTACTTCACTCCAGACAAATTTTATAAATTATTACCAGAGTTTCCAGATCATCATCTTCCCGAGCATATTTAGCGTAGTCGTTGCGTAGCGTACGCATCAATATCATAGACACCAAACCAGTAAGGAAAATTACCATCATGAAAGAATTGAAGACAGAGAACCAGTGAATCTGCAAAAACAACTCTTTGATGATGTGATGGCTGAGATAAAATAGCAAACAAGTAGTATATGCTAACCACTACTTGTTGGTAAAACTTTCAATAATTCCCCTTCAATCTTCAATACCAGCATCTTTGGAGCAAAAGATCTGTAAGTAGATACCCTTCTATCTACCAGAATGATCAATGAGTATGTGCAAAATTTAACTATACCTGGTGCTCGAAAAAGGGGTAATCCAGATAAACATCAAAACGGCGTGCAAATGTAACGTTAGTTCGAACCCATTTGACAGAGTAGGTCATATCCAACACCCGCCCTTCTTCAAGTGGCCTGGGGTTCTCTTGAGTAAGATTTATATGAATAATCTGCAAGTCCAAGTTTTCTATTAAAAATGGAGAAGTTATTACAACTTGCAGGATAAACTAATGCATAAAAAACTTCTACTCGGCAGCACACCTGATCCCCGTTGTAGTTAATGACAAGATTCTTGTGAGTCAGAAGTACGTGCTTACTATCATGGGCTTTATCAGGAAGCACCTCACCAACAAAACCTTCACAAAAGAAGTGGCAATTCAATACAAGTTGAATACAGCCAAGGTGCAACTAGATTTGTATAAATATATTGACGTACCCCACAATGGCAAATCATCTGATCACAAGCAAGCCCATGCGCAACAGAGAACCCAAGTGAAAATGAAAAAGAATATATTAGCAAAAGTTTGATTGAGTTATTCTGGAGCAATGTAATGGCAATAGACCAATGGCAAACATACCCATAAAAAATTCAAACCAGTATGAATTATCAATTGCATCCTTAAACTGTTTAACATTTGCAGCTTCCAGTTCGATTTCACAGATTTTAGCCTTCGTGACATCTCCTGCAAGAAAAGAAATATAAAAAAAGGGTTAACCACATGTGAGTGCGGAGGTGTGGGTATTGAAAGGAGATATGACTATAGAAATGCAGTAATAGGATATTACTCTTAAATTTTATTTCGATTTGGCTATCAATAAGCTCATTCCCTCCGATAACCTCACCCAGCCCACCCCACTTGTGAGCTGCATTGCCAGGTGGGTGGCAAAACGGGAGACTGTAATAGTTGTAGGTTTCTTGGGGATTGTTGTACGGGCCAACCTTGTTTACCCAAAGTGTGACGGCCTCATCATCTTGGTACTGCAGATTGTTCAAAGACGTGTAAACAAATTACAAGGCAAAATGCAATGATACTTTGAGCATTAGACAATTCAGAAACAAAAATTTCTGCAAGTAACAGTCAAAATTCAAGATCATGTACGAAACTTTTACCGTTCAAATGTAAGAAGCAGCATAAGAAACGGGTAAACAGAAAAAGGGAGCTCGAACAGTACTATTTTCTATAAACATTTTGATCTTATCAAGTGATCACATTATAAATCCCAATCATTCTCAGGTCATCCGGTATCAATCATTTCAGATTACCGTCACAAATCACAAATCACAAATCACAAATCAAAACATCTTTCTTACAAGGCACATCACCAATTGCACAAAATTAAAAAAAATTAAAAAAATTAGAGATTAAAAATAAGAAACCTAAGTTTTGATTGAAGTGAATCACACATCAAACTGAGATCTACAACCACTTCACGTAAATATGAAACTTTCTGAAGTAAACTACGGAAAATTAGAATTATTCTTATCACCTTGCCGAGGGTGGAGGAGACGAAGAACAAAAAGAAGAAAGCGAATGTGCAGAAAAATCTGACGGCGTAGCCCATTCCCTCTGGGTGAATAGGGTTTCCTCGGATCTGAATCAGGAAATCTCACAATTATGAAAAAAAATGGGATGTTCTTCTATATCTCCCTCGATTGCTTTTTCGGTAATTCAGATCTCAAAGAGAAATCGAATTTCTGACGCACCGATTCGAACTCAGATTTTCATGTGTTAACTCGATTTTATTAGTCCTATGTATGAATTTCCTCCTTTTAGGATTTTCGATCGTGTAGATTAAGAGAACGCAGTGTGACAGTACGTTTGGGGCACGCCCATAATTACTCCCTTTATTTATTTATTTATTATTTATTTCCTTTTCCATGGAATTTGTAATTATTAGGATATTTCTATTGTTTTCCTATAATAGCAAATAATTAAATCTCCCATGTGTTTATATTTTTGTTTTTTTCATTGATTTTTTTTTCTGATTTTGTGATATATATAAACTAACCTAGCTTAATTATGTGACTAGTTAAATTGGAGGGGAGTTAGATTTTACACATGATTATTTTATACGGAGTTGATTCAAATCGTAAATTTGATTAAATAACTATTGACTAAACACAAACTACACATATGTCTGTGATTATGTGTAGATCTACGGTTTATATTTAATCAGTGTAAATAACCAGTTGTAGTATCTAATTTCCGGAAATTGAATATCTAATTCTTTATACATAAAAAGTAAATAGCATTTCATTATAAAATAATGCAATGTAGTTAAGTGTATTTTGACTTTTGTTTACCCCAATGGCTCGGGCCTTAAATTAATGCTTAATTAGCTAAAATGGGTCTAAGTGGGCTAAAACTTATTAAAATTTGGGTGTTTAAATTAGGATTTAAGTTTATTATTGTTTTGGGCTAAGGCCCATCAGAAAGAGATTGAACAAAGCACAAACGTATATATTTCGCATGAGAAGTACAAAGTATTAAAAGACGAAGGGTCAATTTGCAATTAATATGTATTATAGAAAAATATGTATTATACAGTATTTTTTCCAACTCTAGAGCCATGTACAAAGTTTATTACATAGTCAAATATGAGCTATTGCAAGAGAGGCCTCGTACTATCAAAATATTCAACATCGACCCCGTCTTCTCCACCCACATTCTCATCATCGTCCCCGCCGCACCCGTACACCGATCCAGCGACGAGCGACAGCTGATCATCCAGGTATCTCTGCAGCAAACCCACCTCATCGCCACCGTCACCTTCCCGGCTCCACCACCCATCTCCGCCGCCGGCGTCCGCGTCCGCCGTGCGCCGCTTCCGGCGCACCAAGCAGCATATTTCAACGGCGCAGATGAGGGGACAGGTGGCGAAGAATAAAGGAAAAATAAAAGGGCTTAACAGGATCACAATCAAGTATCTACTCCGGCGGCGATTTAGCCAAGATGTCAACATCCTAGCGACGGCGGAGAAAGAGATGCAGCTCGGGCATACGGCGTCGTTTCTTGGATGCGTTGTCAGAAGCAAGGTTTGATCCGGGTGCTGTTTTTGGAGTGTTATTGGGATTAAACAGCACCACCAATGCCAGTCCCACATCAGGGTTTTCTTTTTCTTGTCCTCTCTCTCTCTCCTCTTTCTCTCTCCTCCTTTCTCTCTCTTCAGTACACAGAAAAAAGCTTATAAACGTGTGATGAATGATGATGGTGATTGGTGAGATAATTGGATTGCTGGAAAAGGAAGAAAATCGAATAGCCTGATTTTTATTACCAATCTCTCAATCTATGATGGTCGGCTCTGATATTGATTTTTCTCGTTTTTATATTTAGTTGAAACCAAATACACACGTTTGGAAACAATCTTGTATATTTATTTTGCTCTTTGACAAGTGGTAGGAGCTTTTATTTACCAAATTGCCATTGAAATCGAAATTTTGGTACGCCATAAATTGTACTTAATCTATTATTTCGATTTATAATTAATGATTATCGAGAAAAATATCGGAACTATATCAAATAATTGTCATTATTTAATTTATCGATAAATTTATGTGTAATTCGTCTGTTTTATCGAATCGATGACAATCATAAAATGAGGAAAATAATTAAATTTTTAACTTCAAATCTTACTCTTCTTTATGAAGTTCGTTCGAGTTTGAGTTGATAATTCCAATTTAGTCTAAATAAAGTTATTTATAAGGTTATTTTAATTTTTGTTTAAAAAACAATATTTAAATTTTAATTGGGCTTAATTTGGAGTTTGGACTACTTTGATTGGGCTATCGAATACATTATTAATCCATAATATTGTCTCCACGTTCCATGGATCTAATTGGTCGAAATAAATGTATTTCGGGGTGAATCTGTAACAAAGAAAAAGATGTGGGACCACAGTAACAACTAAAGCAGACATCAAATGCTGTGATAAAAATAAATAAATAAAAAAAACAAACCGCCAAAAAAGTTTAACAGCAGCCGGGAAAATGTAAATAGAGCGAAATAAACGAATTCCTGTGTGTGTGTTTGTTCATATCCAATTCGGATTCCTTGTGGCGTACAATGGACATCGCCACAGCCGCCATTTCCGATGCCGAAGTTCCTCTGTTGAACGACGTCGTCGAGGGATCCGTTGACTTCAAGGACCGACCCGTTTCCCGATCCAAATCTGGTGGCTGGAGATCCGCTTCTTTCATTATCGGTATTTTGTTTGCGAAATTACCCCAACTGCGTGTTTCATTCTCCGTTTTTCCCCTTCAATTTTTTGATTGATTGATTAGGTGTGGAGGTGGCGGAGAGGTTTGCTTATTACGGAATAAGCTCGAATTTGATTAGCTATTTGACGGGGCCCTTGGGTCAGTCCACCGCCACGGCGGCGGAGAATGTGAATTTGTGGTCTGGAACGGCGTCGCTTTTGCCGCTGCTGGGTGCATTTTTGGCGGACTCGTTTTTGGGACGCTACCGCATGATTATTGCCGCTTCTGTCCTGTATATTTTGGTCAGTCGTTGATTCTTCTGATTTTTTTTGAAATTACTTCATATGATTTACTCATTGTTCATGATTTTTTGTTTTATGAGAACTAATTAAATTGAGTAATTAAATGGGTTGATTGAATCAACGAATTCCCCAAATTGAAGAAGAAAAACTAGGTCATACATATATCAACAACGAGAAAAAACTAATTCTGCTATTTTTCCACTTTGATTGATTATAGGGACTTGGATGCTTGACCCTGTCAGCTCTCGTTTATTCTCTCGGCTCTTCCGACTGTGAAAATGCTGCAAATAACGCGTCTTGTTCTCCACCTCGGTTGCAAATTATTGTCTTCTTCTTCTCTTTGTACATAGTTGCATTAGGACAAGGAGGGCATAAACCTTGTGTGCAAGCTTTCGGAGCTGACCAGTTTGACGAGCAAGATCCGGAAGAATGTAAAGCCAAAAGTTCCTTCTTTAATTGGTGGTACTTTTCATTTTGTGCTGGAGTTTTGGTGGCTCTATCTGTTTTGAATTACATCCAGGACAATTTGAGTTGGGGCCTTGGCTTTGGTATTCCGTGCATTGTGATGTGCCTTGCTCTTATTGTGTTTTTGCTTGGAACCTTTACGTTTCGGTTTCGCGTAAATAGTGACGAGATTAGCCCTTTTCTCAGAATTGGTCATGTGTTTGTTAGAGCAGCAAAAAATTGGCACACTAATCCTTCAGCTATATCCATGGAAGCCGAAGCTCAAGGAGTTCTGCCTTATGAAGGCTTTGAACAGTACAAGTAAGTCAATCATAATATGTGTGTGTGTGTGTGTGTGTGTGTGTGTGTGTGTGTGTGTGTGTGTGTGTGTGTGTGTGTGTGTGTGTGTGTGTGTGTGTGTGTGTGTGTGTGTGTGTGTGTGTGTGTGTGTGTATATATAACTTGTCTGGGTGATATTTGATTGTGGTTTTGCATTATTCACCTTTTCGTTTTTCTTGAAACTAAGAGAAGAAAGAAGCTAGCCATGCTTCGTGTATGTATATCTTGCTTCTTGTTATTGTTACTTGGTGATTAACTTCAAGTTTTAATGTTGGTGATGATAGGTTTCTGAATAAAGCGTTACTCGGATCGAAAGGTTCAAGCCAAGACAGCAAAGTTTGTAGCATCACGGACATTGAAGAAGCAAAGGCAGTTCTAAGGCTTGTCCCAATATGGGCGACCTGTCTGATTTACGCGGTTGTATTCTCACAGTCATCCACTCTATTCACGAAGCAAGGAGTCACAATGGACCGTCACATAACTTCCACTTTCCAAATACCGCCCGCTTCACTCCAATCCCTAATCAGCTTATCAATCGTACTCTTCATCCCAATCTACGACCGCATTCTAGTTCCAATCGCCAGATCCATATCAAGAAAACCGTCCGGCATATCAATGCTTCAGAGAATAGGTTCCGGAATATTCCTCTCTCTTCTCTCGATGGTGATTGCAGCTCTAGTGGAGAGGAAGCGCCTGGCGACAGCTGCCGAGCACGGATTGGTGGACGATCCGAAGGCGGTGGTGCCTATGAGCGTGTGGTGGCTGGCCCCTCAGTACTTGCTCTTTGGAGTTTCGGATGTGTTCACCATGGTTGGTCTGCAAGAGTTCTTCTATGATCAGGTTCCGACTGAGTTGAGAAGTATCGGTCTTGCTTTGTACCTCAGCATATTTGGTGTGGGCAGTTTTATAAGCAGTTTTCTGATATCTGTTATTGAGAAATACACGAGTGGACCCAGTAAGGACAGTTGGTTTTCGGATAATTTGAATCGAGCCCATATCGACTACTTCTATTGGCTGCTTGCTGGGTTCAGTGGAGTTGCGTTTATCGCGTATGTCTACTTTGCGAAGTCGTATATCTATAACAGAAAAGGTAATGTGTGATGTTATTGCAACTAAGGCAGCCACAGCTCCATATATAGGACATAGAATTGTAACATTGTACTAGTGTTTGAAATATGAATTGCAATTGTTTGTTTGTTAAGGTTACTGTTTTAATGGAAAATCTATAATATCATTTTTAATATTAATTGAATTTTATACTTTGGATCAGCTCTTTGTAAATGTTGTTACATATAGGGCCCAATAATTTTTAAAATTACCCTAACTAAAGTGTCACCTTTTGATTGTGTCACGTAATAATGTTTACTCATTTTAACCTTTCGATTGTGTCACGTTATAGATAATCAATTTCTTTTTACTAGAAGTAGCAGTTGATAGAAACTATACGAATTAAAGTTTTAATTTGTAGTACAATAATTAAAGTGGTACAAACAGTATTTTCAATTTTGATTGTGGACCAGTTGTTTTGTCATATATATATTAAAAAACGTATGGATGCAAAATATTATAAATTTCATGTGAATAACATGTATTTGACCTTAATTTCATGTGATTTAGCTGGCTTTGTAATTTAATATTCTAATCTAAACATTACAAAATAAAAATAAAAATAAATAAATATATAGTAATAATACGAGTGAGTACAGAGAGAGAGAGAGAGAGAGAGAGACCGCCAACCAGAAATTCGTTTTCAAAACAGTAATACATTCTACATGCTCAGAGAGAGAGAGAGAGAGAGAGAGAGAGAATGGCTGTCGATGAAATATCGGAGGCCGAAACTCCGCTAATTGATGACGACATCATTCGGGGATCCGTTGACTTCAGCGGCCTTCCGGCCCGCCGGTCAAAATCCGGCTGCTGGAAATCCGCTACTTTCATCATAGGTACATATATATAATAATAATCGTGATTAAATAATACGTGGGGTAAAATTAGCATTTGATATGTTACTATAATTGTTTTGGTTGTTGATTAATATATATATAATATTAGGAGTGGAGGTGGCGGAGAGGTTTGCTTATTACGGAATAAGTTCGAATTTGATTAGCTATTTGACCGGACCGTTGGGACAGTCGACCGCCACGGCGGCGGAGAACGTCAATGCCTGGAACGGAGCGGCGATGCTTCTGCCTCTTCTCGGCGCTTTCGTCGCCGACTCCTTTTGGGGCCGATATCGCACCATTATCATTGCCTCTCTCGTCTACGTCTTGGTAATTACTAATTACTACCTATATTATTTAATATAATACCCCTTAAATTATCTAAATTTTATATATGGCACCAATCAAATTTATTTGTGTTCTTTCACATTTAGTTTAGTTTAGTAGATTAATTTAGCACATCATGAATTTCCAAAACGAATTATTTACAATGTCCTTACAGAAACATATATAAAATTCCAATTTAAAAGTTTTCAATTTTTTTGGACCGGAATTGAAATATATATGAGATTCAGATTTAATAATTTCCAATCCAAAGTTAATTTCCGAAAATTTTGAACTTTTTCCTCCAAAATTTACATTAATTATAATATCAATATGTAATTGAATCACGCGTTAAGAGAAAAATAGAATTTCCGAATTTTGACTATTCCGTCCCGAAAATTTCCAATTTTGGTACAAGTATTTGTCATTTCATCTCTGAAAATTCTAATTTCCGATTTTTTTTTAACGGAATTGGAATTAGTTTTACATTTCCGAAGGAAAACAATTGGAATTCATCTCGTAATTAAATCATGCACATATGAATTAACTCTTTGGATTATGATATAATGGATTATAGGGTCTTGGATTATTGTCTCTGTCAGCTGCACTTGATTCACTCAACTCCAAAAACAATGCAAATAAGAACTCAGCTTCTCCATTGCAAGTCACCATCTTCTTCATCTCCTTATACTTAGTAGCACTCGCGCAAGGAGGGCACAAGCCGTGCGTACAAGCGTTCGGAGCCGACCAATTCGACGAACACGACGAAAAGGAGCTCAAGGCAAAACATTCATTCTTCAATTGGTGGTACTTTTCGATGAACGGAGGTATTTTAGTAGCCCTCTTGGTTGTCAACTACATTCAAGAAAATCTCAGTTGGGAACTCGGCTTCGGAATCCCCTGCATCGTCATGTGCTTTGCCCTAATCATTTTCTTGATGGGGTCTACCACTTATCGGTTTCGTATGAGCACGGATCAAAGGAATCCGTTTGTCAGAATTGGACGCGTTTTTGTTAGTGCAGCAACAAATTGGAAGGAAACCAAATACAAGTAAGCTCAAGATAATGTATACAAGATAATGTATTCATATATACGCGTTTTAATTTTTGGTGTTTTATTAAATTATTTCAACCTCGAATATTGATTGGTTAATGCATGCAGGTTTCTCGACAAAGACGAGAATGTATTAAGAGATGTTGCCGATGCGAAGGCAATCATTAGACTCGTTCCAATATGGTCCTCGTGTTTGGTGTACGCAATCGTCTCATCGCAAATCTCGACTCTATTCACCAAACAAGGCGCTACGATGGACCGTCACATAACCAACGGAGGATTCAAAATCCCATCCGCTTCACTTCAATCTCTAATCAGTGTATCGATCATAACATTCATTCCTATCTACGACCGAGTTTTGGTCCCCGTAGCAAGATCCATAACCAAGAAACCAGCCGGCATATCGATGCTCCAAAGAATCGGGACAGGGGTATTCTTGTCATTTGCATCGATGGTCATCGCAGCGCTTGTAGAGAAAAAACGGCTCGCAACAGCTGTCGAGCACGGATTGGTCGACGAATTGATAGTGCCGATGAGTGTGTGGTGGCTTGCACCACAGTATGTAGTGTTTGGTGTTGCTGATGTTTTTACAATGGTTGGTCTGCAGGAATTTTTTTATGACCAGATTCCTAGTGAATTGAAAAGTATTGGACTTGCTTTGTACCTTAGTATATTTGGTGTGGGGAGTTTTTTGAGTAGTTTTTTAATATCTTTTATTGAGAAGGTGAGTGGGGGGGGTGGGGGTGGGGGGTGGTTTTCGGACAATTTGAATAGAGGACACCTGGACTATTTCTATTGGCTGCTGGCTGGGCTTAGTGGTGTTACGTTGGGGGTGTATGTTTGGTTTGCCAAGTCTTATGTTTATTATAGAAAAGATTAATGTGTTCCATGTTTATTTTATTGGGTAAATTAGAACCAACCACCCCTATGTATGGTCAAATTATGAAAAACTTAAATTCAACATAATTATTTGGATTTTGTAAAATGTTTTTTTAGTTTGTACTCGTGTTGTGTAAAAATACAGTTTCTGATGTACCATAATTTGATATATATAAGCTAAAAAATAAATCTTATGATCATCTAGCTTCAAAATGTGGAGCATGAGTGAGATAAAATGGGTCGAAAATTGAGAATATTTCATATAATCTAGAAGATTCCACTACAATTGAAACCGCGATGGTGGACGTGTAAGAAAATTTATAGTTGAGGGGTGGTTGTAATTACCCAAACAGAAGGGGGATTTTCGTAATTTGACCATACCTCAGGAGTGGTTGTAATTTACCATATTTTATTATTATATATGTTGTATATTGTATTTATTTTATTTATTTATTAAGAAAATAGTTTAATAAATAATATAAATTGGTAGATAAAAAACATTTAACTGATAAATATCAGTGTCGTTTGGTTGTCCAAAATATAAAGTAAATGTCATTTTCAGATGGTTTCTGATACGACATATTATTTATTATATTATTTAGTTAATTGTTTAGTTAATATTTTATTATTAATTTATTAGATTAGTATATTTATGATAATATATGGCCGTGAGTTTTGTATTTAGGAGATTATTTAGTATTTTATTAGTTTAGGTAATTATCTTTTTTAGTTAGATTAGGATTCTAGGGTTTTCTTATATTTAAATAGTCGTCTTGTGCTAGGGCTTTATAATGAAGAGAAATAATAAACAAGATTTTTCTTACGTTCAGTAAAGAAATCTTATGATACACAAGAGATCGCATCAAATGGTATCAGAGCGAAGTTGCGATTAACACCAACGCTTCGTTAGCAAGGCAGCGATTACATCAAAGCTACGCTGGAGCAAAGTTGAGATCACATCAAAACTTTGTGAAAATCACGATGTCAGAAACAAGACGGTTGGAGCGATTGGAAAAATCCGTAGAGAAATTACGGATCGATTTTCAGAAATTACTCGAACAATGTCAAGGACGACGTCAACACCATCACAAAAGCCGAAGGGACCGCCGCCCATCACCGCCAGTGCCACCGCCACCACTGCCGCTGCCACCGCTGCCGAGCCTATCGCCGGAGGAAGAGGAGGAGGATGACGATGACTTTTTCGAAGAACCCCAAATTTTTGTGAGTTCGCCGGAAGAAGAAGCATCAGATTCAACTGAGATGAAGTGGGACGAAGAGCCGAAAGAAGAAGAATCGGAGTCAAATGAGATAAAGTGGGATGAAGACGAGAAATTAATCGGTGATGAAAACGAAGAATTGCATGGAATTTTGAAAGAATTTCATAGCTTTAAGGAAGATCCGATTTTAAGTGTGGAGATTGTGGTACCCGAGAAATCCGACAATATTTCTGTAATTAGTATGAAAAGAGATAAAGGTGAAGATGATGTTGCAATTATCCACGGTATGGGGAATCGTGACATTACAAATGATCTAAATTCAATTGTGTCCCACAGAGGTTGTGAAGTTTTTCCAAAGATCCTTATTGTTAATGGAATTCTGCAAAGTAGTAGTAATTTGCTTGCAAACTTGAAGGTGGAAGAGATGAAAGAGATACTCATTTATAATGTAGTGGTCGAAAAATTATTTTACACTTGTCTTGTCAGCAGTGTTCATATCAAATCAATTCGGAAGAAATTCGATGGCGTCAAGCATAGATGGAAACACAGAAAAAAAGAGACGATTATTGGGCAGAACCTTGAGGACAAGGTTCATTTCAAGAGGGGTGGTTTGATACGACATATTATTTATTATATTATTTAGTTAATTGTTTAGTTAATATTTTATTATTAATTTATTAGATTAGTATATTTATGATAATATATGGCCGTGAGTTTTGTATTTAGGAGATTATTTAGTATTTTATTAGTTTAGGTAATTATCTTTTTTAGTTAGATTAGGATTCTAGGGTTTTCTTATATTTAAATAGTCGTCTTGTGCTAGGGCTTTATAATGAAGAGAAATAATAAACAAGATTTTTCTTACGTTCAGTAAAGAAATCTTATGATACACAAGAGATCGCATCAGTTTCATAATCAAACAAACGTATGCGCCTTTAATGTAGGGCCATATGATATGAATTATGAAATGATAGCCCTTTTATCATTCTTTGGTACAAACATCATTTACATTTTTATCTATCTAATAATTTACTACTACTACTGTTACAGCATATATGAAAAGAACTGCCGTCACTCCAACAAGCTAGAGAGAGAGAGAGGAGAGAGAGAGAGAGAGAGAATGGATACAAGTGATGATGTAAGCATAGCCACCGGAAGTGACTTGTTGGATGCCGAAACTCCGCTACTGGACGACGCCGTCCGGGGCTTCGTTGACTTGAAAGGTCGGCCCGCCGTCCGGTCAAAGTCCGGTTGCTGGAAGTCAGCTTCTTTCATCATCGGTAATGTATCCAATCCCATTGTCAAAAACACTCTCTATGTAAATCAGCTGCAAAATAATGATTTTGAATCTTGACTTTGAATAACAGTTGACTTCCGTTGCTGTTAATTTATTAATAACTAAATATTAAACTATCATCCCTAAAGTTTGATCTAATTACACTTATTCAAAAATGTTGTTCACACCCTTCTTTCAAAAATTGATGTTATTACTTAAATACTTAATCTAGCTAAATTGAACAAATAAAATGTTTAGACTCGGTAAATTACATATAAATAATAAATGATAATTCATAAGTAGTGGCCAGAATAAACTTCAAGAGGCGTTCATGATATTTATTAAATCTTGAGGGGTCTAATTATAATTAAACTTAAGTTTAACGGTAAAAATATAATATTTTATTAGGTGTTGAAATGGCGGAGAGATTTGCTTACTATGGAATAAGTTCAAATCTGATCATCTACTTAACCGGCCCATTGGGCCAATCCACCGCAACCGCGGCGGCGAACGTGAATGCGTGGTCCGGCACGGCGTTTCTCTCTCCACTTGTCGGTGCTTTCATCGCCGACTCATTCTGGGGCCAATACCGTAGCATCGTTATCGCCTCTCTTGTTTACATCTTGGTCAGTCCATTTTTTTGTTCTGTTAGGTGAATATTTTTGGAGGGTGATTAGGTGTTTGTTAAAATGCCTCACTGAACTTTTTATACACTGTGATGTATAACAGGGACTTGGTTTATTGACACTATCAGCAGCACTTCGTTCATCAATCTCTTCTCAGCTTCAAGTCATCTTCTTCTTCCTCTCTTTGTATTTAGTGGCATTAGCACAAGGAGGGCACAAGCCAAGCGTACAGGCTTTCGGAGCTTACCAATTCGATGAAGAAAACGAAAGAGAGCGTAAAGCCAAAAGCTCGTTCTTCAACTGGTGGAACTTTTTCTTGTCGACCAGTGTTTTAATCGGTCTCCTGGTTTTGAGCTACGTTCAAGAAAATCTTAGCTGGGAACTCGGCTTCGGAATCCCCTGCATTGTCATGTGTTTTTCACTCAGTATTTTCTTGCTCGGATCAATGACCTATAGATTTCGTATAAACAACGATCAGAGGAATCCATTTGTCAGAATTATCCGTGTTTTTGGCGAAGCAGCCAAAAATCGGAAGTGAGTAAACTACTTCTTAACTCTCAAGAATTCGCTAGTGCGGTAATTAGAGTCTGTTGCATTTAGTACCCCTATCTTATATTAATTGCCAAAAATCCCCATGTTATCTTATTGCGTTTTTGTTAGCAGAAAACACCCGAAAACGTGAAGTTTTAGGGGGTTGTTTGCCAATAAAATAACATGGGGAGTTTTTTTAATGATTAGAAAAATCACAGGGGTGAGGAATGCATTAATAAACCGAATGTTAATTATGATATCCTATTTAATTTGCAGTATTTTTCTCGATAAGGTGATGATCGAGCCCAATGATCAAAAGGGCTTGGAGTCGAAAAATTGTAGCATCAACGACATCGAAGATGCAAAGGAAATTGTTCGTCTTGTTCCAATACTGCTCACATGTTTAACATACACGGTTGTGTATGCACAATCGACAACTCTATTCACAAAGCAAGGAGCCACAATGGACCGTTACATATCCAGCAGCTTCCAAATTCCATCGGCCGCACTCCAATCTTTCACACCCGCTACACTAGTTGTCTTTATCCCAATCTACGATCGAGTTGTAGTTCCAATTGCAAGAGCCATAACGAGAAAGCCGTCGGGCATATCTATGCTCCAACGGGTTGGCTCCGGATTGTTCCTATCCGTTGTTTCGATGGTTGTCGCGGGTTTCGTCGAGCGGAAGCGTCTAGAAGCTGCTATAGAAAACGGGCTTTCTGCTTCGCCGAACGGAACTGTGCGGATGAGTGTGTTTTGGCTGGCTCCACAGTTCTTGATTCTCGGAGTTGGTGATGTGTTAACACTGGTCGGGTTACAAGAGTTTGTGTACGATCAGTTTCCGGTTGATTTGAAGAGCATGAGTTTTGCTGTGGGTCTTGGTTTAGTTGGCAGTGGAAGCTTCTTAAGCAGTTTTCTTATATCTGCCATTGATAAGTTTACTAAGGGAAATGGTGGAGAGAGTTGGTTTTCGGATGATTTGAATAAAGCGCATCTTGATTATTTCTATTGGCTGCTTGCTGGAGTAAGCGCGTTTTCATTTAGCGCTTATGTTTATTTCGCGCGGTCTTATATTTATAGCACGAGAATCGCTGTTTGAAAAACTGCATTTTATTATTGTATGGGCCTTTTGCATTTCATGATTGGGCCGGGCCGGGCCGGTTAGAGTTACTGGGCCTGTAAGTAATGTAATCTCTTTTTTGTTTAGTCAACGGCCTGTAATTTAATCCGAACTCGAAAGTCAACTTTTTTGAAAGATGAGTGAAATTATGGGTTAACTTATTCGTTCGATTTGATTGAGAAAAATCCAATTGTGTTATTAGAATTATGAATTATCCAATTAAGTTATTGTAACTTGCAAGAAAAAAACAAATTAGGATGTATTTTTAATTGGGTCAAAGTCAAAGGTGAATTTCGGCGCAAAGCAAAGTTGTATTGTAATGTAGCCCTTCTGTCAATGACAAAAATTAGAATAAACTAAAAAAATATTTGGATTATTGGGTTATAGTATACACACAATTAGTGGTGTGTTTGGTTGTTTTCCAATATTTGCTTAAGAAAAAAAGTTTAATTTAATTTAGGGGCGTGACAAAATAACATGGCCACCCAATTTTAGGTTTAATGACATGACTTATCGTGCCACCCAAACTCTTCCCCCAATTATAAACACAAAGGACCCATTTATACAATCAAAACACCTTATAACTATATTTGTTTAATAATTACATTTACTAATATTGTTTTTTTTTTTTAATTTAATTGTTTAATTGAAATGGGTTTACATCTCTAATTTATTGAGATATCACAGGGAAGGTGGTGGGTGGAGTCTAATCATATGAGTCTAATGGGACAACTGTAATGAAATATATACTAATTAATCGGCTCCTTAATCATCGCAATTTTCCAATTCGTATTGCTTAAGATTCTATAAATCACATTATAATATATACTCCCATTAAGTTTAGTTTCTTAATAATTAATAATTAATTAAAAATAAAATAATTATAGTACGTCACAATTGTTTTTAAATGGTGTAAACAGGCCAAGTCTTGTTATCGAATTATAGAAAGAAAAGAAAACATTATCATAATTAATAGTTGCACCCCACTTGTTGAATATTGATAGTAATCCTCAAATAAAAGTAGTGTATATCATAAGAAAAATTATAAATAAATAAATAAAGTCTTATTCACATTATTTATACCAAATGAGATTTCATCATCATACGGTTCCTTGTCGCCATCAATTGTAAATTCATGAACATTTAATTTGGATGCATTTTCAACTAGCCAATTAATGTAATGCAAAATAAAATCTAGGGTAAATTACAGCCGGTCCCACGCTAAGGTCAAATTACGAAGAAAAAAAATTATCTTGTAATTATAATCATTCTCTAACTATGAATTTTTTTACATGTTCATTTTGGTGTCGAATTTAGTAGAATTTTCTGGATCATGTGAAATATTCTTTAATTTGTACCCGCTTTATCCCTTTCGACCTCCATGTTTTAAAACAAGATGATCGATCATAAGATATGTCTCTAAACTTGTAAATATATATCAGATTGTGGTGTATTAGAAATTGCATTTTTGCACAAAAACGAGTACACACTAGAGAACATTACACGAAATCTACAAGATTCTGTTGAATTTGACACTATAGGAATAAACTTATAAGGAGATTCGTACTTTGAGCTTACCTTGGGCGGCCGAAATTTACTCTTAAATGTAATGCAAAATAAAATCTAATGATATATTCACATAACATTTAATAAATATATTCATCATCCATCCTTTTTTTCTATTTTTTTAAATTTTATTTATTGGGGCAAAATAAATCTCTTACAGATGGCAGTTGCATAATTTCTGGTGTTTGGTCTGAGATGTTCAGAGATTACAGTGTGTTCATTTATGTGACTTGTTGGTATAATGTTTTTTTTTCTTTTATAATTTTATTTTTATTACGTAGCAAAAAAATGAAAAATTTAGTTGTACGTACGACAATGATTGGGCAGCCGTCAAATGATTGTGTGTGTGGTTTAGGGCATTAGCATTTAAACACTGATCATTTCATGTTCAATTTCAGTTGCTTTCACGTACTATAGAGTTGTAAGAATTTCACAGTTGCTGTTAATTTTTTATTTATTTATTTTTCTTTTTACTAATTTCTAAAGCAGAAAAATAAATTCAAGGAATTTCGAGGTTGTAATTATATATATATATATATATATATATATATATATATATATATAATATATTATCTAAACCCCAGCATGAGGCCAGACAATACGATAAGGATATAGTATTATATATACATGCACGACCTGCAATTAAGGTTAATAATGGAAAATTAAAACGTTAATTGGAGTATTATATAACACTAATTAGTAATTACTACTCCAATAGGAGTAACGTACACTTAATTCCAAAAGCTGATTTAAATGGGCTGTTTCTTGCTGATTGGACTGCAGCATATGCTTTGTCTGATAGTTACATACATATATTTTTTTTGCCATACAAAATTGATTCATTTTCTCATACAAGAATATTCCTTTTTATATTGATTTGTCGAACTTGCATATTAATTTACATAAAAACTTGATAAAAAATAAATAAAAAAATATGTGTGTGTCAAATTGGGATCACCATTGAATTAATTAAGTTATGATTCTTGTTCTCAAAGTTGCTTATACTATTTAGTTATGATTTGTGTTTATCAAAGTTGCTTCCAAAATTAGGATTCCTCTTCTTTTTATCTAAGCAAAAACCATCAAATATTATATAAAATAAAACATTGTAGAGCTATCATATTACATATACATATTAGGATAACCTCTTCTTTATATAGATTATATTAACGTTGCTCAAAAGTCGATTGGATAGCACAAGAGTTTTTGAGACGAAGTAAATAGATCTCACGGGATTTTGCCAACTGAGGTCGATACCCGACTCTTCGGGATTGGTGAAAGAGACTAACTAACGAACAATGTCGATAGAAGACGCTGATAATAAAGATAGGCGGGCCGATAAGTCGAAGGTTATAACTTGAGACTAAATTAATTTTAGGCTAAAGCCAGAAAAATACAATTTTTTTATTATATTCGATAGAATCTCAATAAATTAACATCGATCGATTAAATAATAGTTTCTTCTGATCCCGACTCGTTAAAAATATAATATATTATTATTTCGATAATTTAATATTTTACTAAATTAATTTAATTTTGCTTGATCTCGATTGTATTAATTTATAGTAATAAAATAAGGCAAAATAAATTAAGGGGTCATTAGCAATAAACCCCTCATATAGATAATAAATGGTGATATGTCCACCCCTTCAATCTTTCTTTGTGATAGCCCCCTAGAATTTGTATTCCCAATTGTACCCTTAGGATAATTAGTCTCAATTATTCCTTTTTTCTCTCTTTCCATAACAATAATCTAATTCCTAAAAATCTCCTTCCAAATTCCTAAAAATTTGCTACCAAATCAAAAAAAAAAAAAAATATATTTTTATTTTTTTTTATTTTCGGATTTTTTAGCCATTTTTCATTTATTTTTATTTTTTAATAATTTTTTTAATAAAAAAAATTTATTTATTTTTTAAATTTTTTTTTAAACAAAAAATTGATTTTTTTTTTCTTGACAGATTTACAACTTCGAATATGACTATAGTTAAACATGACTATATGTGACTATATAGACATATTCTTTCTTTATATTGCATTTTTTTTTATATTTTCAACTTAAAAATTTCGATTATATAATGTGGTATAGTCATGTTTATCAAATTATATAAAACAAAGAAGATTCCCCTATTGTTTACAAAAACAATCCAATCAAAATTTACACAAAAAATACCAATTTTGAATCTAGTTATTCGAATATGACTACAGTCATATTCAACAATAGTCATATTCGAATATGACTACAATCATATTCGAAAAATACATAAATATGACTATAGTCATATTCGAACATGACTATAGTCCTGTTATGAAAAAAAAAATCGAAAAATACATAAAGATAGAAAAATAACGGAAGAGAGTCATGGGGAGTCGACGACAACGGCGATGGTGGCGGTGGTGAAGTAAAGAGAGTGAGAGAGGCGGCGACGGTGGTGGTGGTGGGGGACAAATCTGGAAAAAAAATAAAAAAAAATGAGAAAGATAACGAAGAAGAGAGAAATAGTCTTACGTGGAAACGAATGAGGAGGCGGCGGCCACGAGCGGCGACGGTAATGGTTGTGTACAAATTTATGTGGAGACGATGGTGGTGTAAAGATAGAGAAATCGAGAGAAACAACGAACACGAGAAATAAATAAATCATTAATCGAGTGAATCAACAATAGTCATATTCGAACCAGAGTAGTCACGTTGATGCTGCTGTTTCAGATTTGGAGAGAAAAAAAAAAAGAAAAAAATCGAAAAAACCTGGGGAGGCGACGACAACGACGGTGAATGACAGAGAGAGTGGGGACGTGGCTACGGTGGCGGTGGTGGACAAATCTGGAAAAAAAAATAAAAAAAAAAAATTGAGAAATCGAGAGAAAGGGAAAAAAGGAAATCTCCATGTAACGCATCCGACGAAGGGCGGCGACGAGGTTGGGGAGGCACCGCCACCACCACTTGTACGGAGGAGGGCCTCCTGCATTAGGTTTCGGTCGACCGGAGGTTGAAAGGTATTTTTTACTCCGACGGTGACGAGTGCACGAACAACGGTGGCTATGGTGAGTGGACTACGACGGTGGTGTGAAAACGACGAAGGAGGGCACCGCGGTACAGATCTGGAGAAAGACAGAAAAAGAAAAAAAAAAAAAGATGATACATCGAGAACGAGAGAGAGGGGGGAGGGAAAGAGTGAAATAAATTATATCACGTTAAAAACCTAATCACATAAGGGCACTTTAGTCTTATCATGTCTGGTTAGTGGTGTCTCACTAATTAATAATGAAACTTGGGTGTAGGCAAAAGTCTCTAATAGTCAATTGGGTTTAGTTCAAAATATTTTGAATTTTAGGGGTATTGCATATTTCCCCATAAATTAAATAGAAAAATCTAAATTTCAAAATGTATAAATTGACAGCAAAGAAACATCAGCCAACGGGTTTAGATTACTTTGGCGCATGAAATGCGGAGTCTGGTGGGTCCGTAGACAACCGATGATGACACCCGTTACCTATACATACATTATTATTTGTATCTATATCCAACTTGTGTGCGCATATATATATAAAATAATAATAATAAAATAAAGTAGCATGATATTTAATAAATTAGTTATTAAAATATATATAAGTACCTATTTGTTTGGTAAGCCAGCCGGCTTTGAGATGATTACAAAGAAACATGTTTGGAATTTTTGTGTGGAGTAGTGCGTTCATTATTTGACAGACTGTTTACAAGGTGCTGAAAATAATTATTAATTATTAATTATGTTATTATATTGGATTATATCTTTCATGTAAATTAAAAGGAATGTTTTTCTTTTCTTTTCTTGATTTTTATTTTTTATTATGACAACCTTGTCACCCACTAATGTTTTGCCAAAAAATAAAAATAAATAAATAAAAAGGGATTTCCTAGGAATAAAATCTTGGAAATTTACAATTCCCAAGTCAAATTCACAATGAATGTTTTAATTAATTATTGTGACCCAAAATTTCATTTTCTTGGCTAAGCGGTTTAGTAAATACCACTAATGTGGACTAGATTTTATTAGTCTTGAGATCGACATAAGCCTTATCTAATCACCAATAATATTTAGGTAAATTACGAAAATCTCCCTGAAGTTAGGCTAAATCACAAAAAATTCCCAATTGATGTGGGTCAATTTGTAAACTATTGGCCTCGTAGAAATATTTGAGCCTGGAGTCATTGGTGGACCATGATCCAACAATATTATGTTCATTGGACTCAGAATTTAGTCAAACCTTAAGAATAGGCATGACTTATAAATATCTCATATTTTCCACCAATAAGAGGTACGATTTATTTAACACACAATACACATTCCTAAACACACGATCAATACATCGATCTCACATCGTCTTCTGTATTCGTTTTCCTTATGATTTTACTCTTTCTTCAATTGTTTTTACTAAAGACTAACTTTAGCGTAGGAGTGTCCACCCGAGATTTCAGGTGAATAGAGTAATTTCCCGGTGATTGAGATCAGAGAAGGTGTTCGAGAAGAGCCAATGTTGGTGAGGGTTAAATCGACCTCCACTACCCACTTATCCGTATTACTAAAATCCCCTCGACTTTTATTTCCATCTTACACCAATGTGATTTTCCCCAAAGAAATGTCGATTCTACCCCTAAAAGCATCCTCTTAAATGTAGGTGGCATTGGTATACCTTCTACAATAACCTTTTTTTCTTCAACATCACATTGCGATGTCATTAGACTTCCTCGATTATTAATATGAACCATCATAGCATATATAGGCAATTTTTAAAAACAGTGTGCATGGCTACCTTCAATCACATTTGCAGGGTTATATCGCATTTTTCGAGAAATAGTTCGTAGAATCAAAAAGATTACATAAACAATCACACATAAGGGGGTCGTGTAAAACGGAAACAAAGATCAAGGGAATTCTGGTAATTACGAGTAGGTAGGGGTATTTTTTGTAATGTATCCTAAGTTTAGGGGGATTTTTGTAATGTACCTTAACAATTATTAATTTTTATTTTTATAGAGTATAAAAGTGGACATTTATGTATCTAGATGAATGATATATTTATTTGGCATAGTACAATAGTCATTAGATATTAAATGATATCATATATGACTAGGGGTTATATGTCACAATTGAGTTAATATTGCACCATACGTTACCATATGATGACAAATTGTATTTTCATTGAATTAATTGTTCATCCAAAACTCACAAATTTCTTAGGAGTAGGTATCATCTATCTATCATCATGTTATATATATAACTCACAAGTAGGAAATATTTTATACTTTGATAAGTCACACCTTTTAACCTCAATTATGTGTATTCTCTTATAATTCTAAAAAACAAAAAAAAAATAATAATAAAAATCGTGAAGAGAAGTAACCGTATGTTAAGAACTCGGGTATAACAAGGCTAAAATCAACCAAATCGAGTTAATCCTGATCGACAAAACCTGAATTCGATGAATTTTTTCGCTAAGTTAGTAGGACGAATATCAAAATTTATTTTATATAATTTATTATTATTATTACAATTGAGACTCATGGGTCCAAATAATTTTCCTTTTTGGACCCAATAAACTCAACGGTCCACAAAGACAAATATGCTACAATTAATAAATATTAATCTCTCACAAAAAAAGAAATCATTTCTTAGAAGGGAAAAAATATTATAAATTTGGAGAAAATTAGTAAATTACAGCCCAAAGAAAAGAAAAATAAATGTGGTTTGATTTGAAGAAGAAAAAGAAGAGGTGGTGTGTGGTGGAAGTGGGGCCCACAAACAAGAGTGGTAAGGAGCTGGCAAATTTTCATTTGGGTCTTTTGACAGACTGTTCCTCTTCACACAAACACACAGTAATCAGTATATGTACTCGCCCCCCTCCACCCCCATTCTCTCATTTTAATCGCCGCCTCAATTTCTTCTCTCTCTTCTTTCTCTCTCTACAATTTGTTTCAGAAACAAATAATTTATCATGGCTGAGGAAACCAAGAAGACGACTGCTGAGGCTGCGTGTGAGGAGGTTGTGGTGGTGGCTGATGTGCCGGTGGCGGAGAAGCCCACAACCACCGTGGTAGAGAAGGAGGCGCCGCCTCAGCCCGAGCCGGAGCCGGAGCCGGAGGCGGAGAAGGTGGAGAAAGCGGCGGCGGCGGAAGGAGAGAAGGAGGAAGCATCTGAGGAGAAGAAGGTTGCGGAATCTGCTTCTTTTAAGGAAGAGAGCAACAAGGTTGATGATCTCATCGACCCAGAAAAGAAAGCCTTGGATGAACTCAAGAAGCTGATTCATGAGGCTCTCTGCAAGCGAGAATTCACCGCCCCTCCGCCGCCGCCGCCCCCCGCCGTCAAGGAGGAGGAGAAGAAGGTAGAGGAAGAACCAAAACCTGAAGAGAAAAAGGAAGAAGAGGAGACCAAAACCGAAGAGAAGAAAGAAGAAGAGCCCAAAACCGAAGCTTGCGCTGAAGTTCCGGCGGCGGAGCCTGTGAAGGAAGTTCCGGCGGCGGTGGTGGAGGAAAAGGCACCAGAGCCACCATGCGAAACAGTAGTCGAAAAGATCGAAGAAAAAGTGGAATCCCTCGTGGAAGAGATCAAAGAAACAATAGTCCACGAAGTCACCGCCCCTGCTCCACCACCACCATGCGAGGAGGAGCCAATCGCCGCCGCCGCCGCCGCGGCGGAGGAAACCACACCGGAGGAGGTCTCAATCTGGGGAATCCCACTCCTCGCCGACGAGAAGAGCGACGTCATCCTCCTCAAATTCCTCCGGGCCAGGGACTTCAAGGTGAAGGACGCGTTCGCCATGCTCAAGAGCGTGGTGACGTGGCGCAAAGAGTTCAAAATCGACGAGCTGATCGAAGAAGAAGGCATAATCAACGGCCTCGACAAGGTGGTGTACATACACGGATGCGACAAAGAAGGACACCCCGTATCCTACAACGCGTTCGGAGAGTTCCAGGACAAGGAGCTGTACAACAACACTTTTGCAGATGCTGAAAAGAGAACCAAGTTCTTGAAGTTCTACATCCAGTTCTTGGAGAAGAACATCAGGAAATTGGACTTCAAGCCAGATGGCACGTGCACAATTGTTCAGATAACTGATCTCAAGAATTCACCTGGGCTTCTCTTGTACAAGAAAGAACTCCGACAAGCCACCAACCAGGCCCTCCAGCTCCTCCAGGATAATTACCCTGAATTTGTTGCCAAACAGGTATTAAAGATTCCATTTTTATTTTTTTTAATTATATATTATTTTTGTCTGTTTGTTATTTTCCTGTGTTTTTTTTTAAAATTGGTTTCTGTTATATTTGGCCAATAGGGTCCATGAGTAAAAATCTAGTCTTTTCTTGTTCAAAAATAAAATAAAAATCTAGTCTTTTCTATAGATATTTGCTACCAATATGTTAAAAATATAGTCTTTTATATACAAAGTTATTTTCCTGTGTTTTTTTAATGGGGTTTCTGTTATATAGGGCAATAGGGTCCATGAGCATATGCTAAAAATCTAGTCTTTTTTAGTTCAAAAAAAAAATCTAGTCTTTTCTATAGATATTTGTTACCAATTTGTTAAAAATCCAGTCTTTTATATACAAAGTTGTTTTCTTTACTAGTATAGGCCCCATGGATTTTTTTTAGTGTAACCTTGAAGACAAGTTATGCCTATGTTTTGCTTATAGGAGATTCTTTTTTTTTTTTTTTTTTTTTTAGCTGAATTTTAGATATATGCTAATTGAGGTATCGAATAATTGGGTATTGTGAAGGTGTTCGTCAATGTTCCATGGTGGTATGTGGCTTACAATAGAGTGATCAGTCCATTCTTGACTCAAAGAACCAAGAGCAAGTTTGTGTTTGCTGGCCCTACTAAAACTGCTGAGACCCTCCTCAAGTTCGTAAATTTTCAATTTTTTTTTCTATTTTTTTCTCGTAATTTTCTTGTTATTTCGGATTGTAAATGGGGATTTTTTATCCGTCTGTTTCAGATACATAGCACCCGAGCAAATACCGGTTCAATACGGTGGCCTAAGCAAACAGGACGCCGAACAAGAATTCACCACTGCTGATCCTGCAACCGAGGAAATTATTAAGCCAGCTTGCAAGCACATCGTTGAATTGCCAATCACTGAGGTAAAAAAATCAATCAAATTTTCGCTCGATAAACTAAAATTCGGTATTTTAGCAACTTAATTTATTTTAATTTTTGGTGCAGGCTGGTACATTTGTTTGGGAGGCTAGAGTTATTGGATGGGACGTTTCTTACGGTGCTGAATTTGTACCGAGCGCTGAAGGAGGGTACACATGGATAGTACAAAAGTCTCGTAAAATTGGACCGGTCGACGAAACAGTTGTTAGCTGCAGCTTCAAAGTCGGTGAAACCGGAAAGGTTGTCCTAACATTCGACAACCAAACTTCGAAGAAAAAGAAGCTTCTTTACAGGTCCAAGACCAAGGCCTCTGAATGAAGAGGAACTCCTTTGTTTTCAGTCACATATTCTTTTCTCTGATTGCTATTTTTATTAAAACTTTTATTTAGTTATTTTATTTTAATTTTTATTATTTGTTTGCTGTTGAATTGAAGTTTTGTTGTTGGGTGTTTTCTTTACAAAGGGGTCTGGAAAATGTATGAAATATGAACAGAAATTGTCATTTTAATTTTATTTTTTAGTGTGAAAATGTGGACAGAAGCTTTTATTACAGCTGGCTTTTTTCTTCATAGTACCTTTTTCATTCTTGTAAATTTTGTGTAAAATTGATATGTTTGTCATTGCTTTTGTTTCCTTTTATGGATGGTGATGTCAATATTCAAATCTATATCTAATTTAAGTTGGTGTAAATTACGGGCCACCCCTGAGTTAAAGTCAAATTACGAATAAATTCTTAGCTCTACTGTTCGCCTTA